TATCTCTGATTATTTAATTTTCTTAGGATCAACTTCTAAAAGTGATTCAAAGGATCTGAAATCTGTCAGCAAGATAAACTGATGAATATTTAAAGAGTAATTGAAATTGTTCTCCACTTTGGCAAAAGCACAGGGAGGGCCTCTGGATGATGAGGGAAAACTTAATGTTTATTCATTCATTTCTTTGACAAATATTCATTGACTACCTCCTATGTTCCAGACTCTATATTACTGTAGTTGCCAAGGCGCTCTGGGATGCAAGAGAGATGTGTACACGGCCCTCGTGGCAGTGACCTAGAAAGTTAGAAATCATGGGTCAACTTCTTGTTTATAGATGAGGAAACAAGGGAAGTGGCTCACCCACCTTTACACAGCAAGATATGAAGAGCCAGAAATAGAATATGGGTTTCTTTCTCTTGCAGTCCAAGCTTCTTTGCACCCTACCAGCCATTTGTCCCTTTAGATGGGAGCATCAGTCAGGGCAGGTTGCTAGTGTCATTCTCCCTCGTTGTATTTAGATCTAGCTCTAGGCAAGGTTGTGAAGTGAATGGGGCCAAGTTTGCCTAGGGTGCCTTGACCTCTCCCTTCTGTGCTGTCTCCTGTCCTGGATTCCCCCAACCTTCTCTCAGGCACCAAGAGACCTTATGATATTTTCTCATGACTTGTGAAAATCTGCTTTCTGAGGAGAAACTGGTATCAGTCATTTGTATCGCAATGTGGATGAGTTAAGACACTGTGTTCCTTCTTCCAAGGGGAGTGAACTGTGAAGGTATTTGAAGATTTTTTTTTCTTATTGAAAAATGACAGACTTTGTTTCCAGTGGAAGCGTTTTGGGCATCAGGGAGCAGATAAGGCCTGGCACCCTTTCTCCACTGTTCCTCTGGGCTCACAGCATATCTTCATATCCCCTTTCCACCATGGTTGGTTAGCCCAATCTCACCTCCTCATACAAGATTATCAAGGTTAGTGAGAAAGTTGAGGACATTGTAGCCACACCTGGAACTTATTCCCAGTACATTAAAGGGGCTGCTTTGGACATAGAGCTTCATAGAACAGGGAAGCCCCAATGCTAAGAAACCCCTTACCTCTTCCCCACCCTGCCATGTGAGGAGTGTCTGTTAGGAAGGAAATTCAATCAGCCTTCTAGCCACCAGAACTGAGGTTGAAAGCACTATTTCCTCTTTGGATTCTGTTCCAAATGGTATTCCTGTTGCTGTGTTTGAAGTTAATTAGAGTCACAAATCATTCGTATTTCCCTTTTCTGAAGGAAAGCCTGACACAGTACTTATCTCATCCAGTTAATTGACGTAAAGAGGGCTCATCCCTTCCTGAAACCACTAAATGGATCCTCTGATGGGTAAGTATCAGACTTACATATATAAAATAAAAGCTTGGAGAATTCAAATTTCTAGTTCATAGAAATGGGACATGTGGTTTTCTCTCTGAGCCTCACAGCTTAGAATTCTTTTTGATTCGATTGAGGCCAATGTGAGAATGGAAGAAATCTATTCCCAGTTAGGAGAAGAGATGCGTGTGGGGAAAGGAGAGGAAGGAAATTTGACACAGAAAAGATTCTTATTGCCAGTCAGTGAACTGATGATACTTGAAAATGAAATGTGGACGAGCTGTCAAT